GTAGCATTGTTATTATTTTGTCCAAAAATGAATTTGTTTATAAATTGTATTTTTTGCTGAAATGTTTAGCTTTTTAATAAAAAATTCAGTTGTACAGCTCTTGTCTCAATTCTTTTATTCCCGGGTAAAAAATCTTCTGTTTTGTGTTGTCTTGGTTATTGTGCGGTAACTTTTTTTCTAGACTTCAGAAAATTTATTTACGACATTTTTATGACACTGTAATGCGCTTGAGTGCATGCTAAGTAGTCCTTAAAGCATTTCGTCTCAAATATCTATTCGTTTAATATTATCATAAAATGTGCATAATTCAGCATATAAAGCATATATGATTTGATAGATTTGATAGAATAAATGCTCTTATATATAAATGTATGTATTGTAGATTAAGTGGGTTTAATATTAAAGCTCTTAAGGTATTTATATAAGTGTACCTTATAATTTTAATATAAAAATACAATTACACATTACCGCTAATTCCATATAAATCAATAAAGTTATAACAAAATAATTAATAATTTCAGAAGACTGAACTAAATTAATTTGATTAGGAACAGCAATAAAAATCAACTAGGTACTGGCTTCCTACTATCGGTATGATCCTAATTAAACAAAAGATACTCTGGACTCTGGATCAAAATGTTACTTGTTTTATCAGTTTTAACAGAAACTTACAGCATTATAACCGTATTCTAGATTAGATATAATCTCAATAGTCATGACAAACATGACAGAATATCGACAACAGAAAAAACTCTGCTCTTCGAATAAAGACCGAAATGTTACCAGTTGACATTCATGATCTTTTAATCATATACTAGCTCAGTTCAAACGCGGTCAGACATAAGGAACGTCAAATGCTGTTCGAACTAAGCCTAAAAAGTCACTTGCTGCTGTTTTTCTAATACCAGCTTAAAATATAAACTCACGGATTTTTAGTCTTATTCTGGCATACGTCAATTCGGAACAGTCATGAATAATGTACGAAAATTTCTGATCTGCTTTCAAATGGAGCCGACATATTTCTAATATGAGCTGTGGAAGGTACTTATTGTAGCCTAGCTCAAATACGGACAATCACTAGAGACTTGAGAAAAAATTTCGTTTGCTTTGAAATTTCGTTTGCCGAAATTTATTCACAACAGAAAACATTCTGTTCTTCGAATAAAAACTAAAATGCCACCAGTTCATATTTACCTTATATCAGATGTCTTATACTGGCAGAGATCAAATTGAAACTTTCATACAGAATGTGAGAGAATATCTTGCCTGCTTTCAGGCGTTGTTGATATATTGTAAAAAGAGGTAGAAAATCATTTGCTCCCTTAATGTCACCTGCTGAGGTTTTTCTAATATCAGGTGGAGTGAGGAATACAGGGATTGCATTCTCATCCTTGCTCAGAAAAATTCGGGCAGTTAAGAAAAATGTTACTACATATGTTGTCTGTGTTGAAACACTGTCGACATTTTGCCACCTCAGAAAGGATAAGACTTGTTAAGATGGTAACGCAATCCATGAGGGCACGTATATATACAAATATCAACAGTTCCATTTGGGACCATCAATTGCGTTACCATTTGATGGTAACCCCTTACAGTGCCCCGAAAATTGTCTAAAAAAGGCGAGCTAAACTAACCGTTGTATCGATTTGAGATGCATGGTAAATCGCATTAAAACAGTCATTAAATCTCTGTAAAACCCTATTATCGTGTTAATATATATACTTCAATTTCTGCTATTAAATAAAATTTTAAATGCATTTTTATTATCCCAAAATTAATTAAATAACGTTTTTCATGTACTTATGCAAATTGTTTTCATATTTAAAACTTTAATGTTTTTGTACTGCGAAATGTACGTTTCTATTATATCCAAACAACAATGACTTTAATACCACATTTTCTACTTAGAAGATTCACTGGAAAAGAAAGGCTATACAAAAGAAATTTTCTCCCTAAACTAGACATTTCTAAGTATATATAAGAATTCTTAACTAGTACCGGTTGTTGACATGACTAAAGTACCTCCTGCTGTCAAAGTTGTTACATTCAAGAGAGAATTTAAAGCACAATAAAAACAGGAAGGCGGGGAAAAGCCTTTGTTTCTTACTTAACATTGCCAGATTGTCAACAACATGCAGTGGAACTGGCAACTAGGCAACATCAAAAGATAAGAAAGTTGAATGACATTTTGCGGTACGAGTTTTAACGTAAAATGAAAGTCCAAAAAAAAATTCAAATTTCGACTTCAACTTAAGATGCTTAGATGCTTTAATGAAACCTCATGTCGACACAGCAATTTGGGAAAACAAAAAACCAATTAAATCTTCAAAGATTTTTTGAAAACTCATTTAAAATTGGCAGTTTTCCAATAACGCATTAATTAACAGCTTCAATAGAAAATAAACCAAATATTACAAAAACAAACAATATCGTATATAGTGTATTCAAAGGAAAAAAGTACTGAAACCTCAAGCTTTGAAAACTCATTCCAAACTACAAGTTTTTGCTCTTCTAGCTGTCCCACAAATCCCCAACAAACTTCAATAATTATGTCTCGGCAGGAAAAGAAAGTTTCAATTGCGTAAATGTTTGCTCATTTTACATAATAAACTTTCTTTCTAATTTTTTTAGAAAGTTTTATTTTCATTTGGTTTGGTTTTTCTTTATCCACACCTTCACCTAAATTCAGTGCAAACTTCTTAAACTTCCGTGGCATTGGAAATGGCAGTAATTGTGGAGATTGGCGGTACGTTGCCGGTACGTTGGAGTTAATTATGGCATAAAGTATTCATGTTTTCCATTTTTTTTTGTATTTCTACCAACACCGCAACACTGTTTACAACTCCGCTTAGTTACTCCCCTTACCTACCACTCCTCGTCACAACTCAGCCGTTTGCTTTTAATCGCTAAAATTGAATTCGGAATTGTCTTTGTAAGTCCTTTTTTCTTCATAATTTATGCGCTCACACCATCCGTGTCTGTTATGGCTGTAAAGTTTGGTGGGACTCAGGTTGATCTGTAGTTTTAAAATATGAGTAACAAAAATTTTCATACGCACCTGTTGTTCCACTGAGGTTTCTCTTATAAATTCATAGTTTCGAACCCAGACTGCCAGACTGGAGGAACGAAATAATAATTGTAATTAGTTTTTAACGTTTTTTCTGCTATTCTTTCCAAAGGATTTAATTATGAAAATGACAATGAAAAAGCTGTAAAAACTTCATTGTGATAAAAGATAATTAAAACTTATTGCTTATCACTGTAAAACAGATTTTAAAAACTTTTTAAATACCTCTCAGACTTTCTTCCTTCATTTTGTAGTTATTTTAAATAAAATTAAGCAAACTGTTAAAAAAACTAATAAAAATTTACGAACTCATAAAATCTGTAAAGAAAACTGTAAGAGTTTATCTAGAGATATGCAAAAAGTTTAGGAATATGTACGATTTTAAGACTAATTAAAATACTAAAATCGGTGTTAACCCTTTAAAAAGAGGAAAAAACGACAAGACATAGGACAAAGCGAAACAAAGCGATTCAAAAGAAATTATTTTAGTTAGTGTTAAATAGTTCTTCTTTTTGTCCAACGCCCACTATAGAGTATGAGTTTCGTCAGTCAACAATATTAGCAAGAAACTGAGTACATTAGAAGCATATTATACTGATACAATGCATACCTACTCTGCGCTTGATCACTTCTATAACGAAATCTATGGTGTCATGAGATTACAAGTTTCTTTCTTTAAAGCCACGCTTAGATTTAAAATGTTCAGAGAGACGTGATTCTACCTTCGCAAAGCAGCAACCCATTCTGCATACCATACTGAATAGATCTATTAACCTTGAAGGGTATTAACTGATTAAAAGGTAATTATAAAATTTCATAAAAAACATAAACGCTTTATTAGTACCAATTATTACAGAAGGAGTAAGAATTTATTAAAGACTTATATATTTTTAAATAGACTTCTACAACTACAACTGGCATATATTATAAAAAAGAATCGAGTTTAAAAATAATCATCTAACTGTATACAGCTATAAGTAAAAAAAATTTTTTCTACGGAACTGACAGATCAGATTGAATAACTCTTTCTACTATATTTCATTGGGTGTCGTCTTAGCTTTTGGTAAAACAGCAAGCTAAATTAACAATAACCAAATTCAGTGGAGCCTCCTACTGATCTAGAATTGGTATCATACTGAATCAGTATGATTTCAGTACCTATCTCAATTCACTACATTTTCTTTAACCCAAATGTCGATCTAGTGTTAGGTGTTCTTATGCCTAGTAGGGATGATTAGACTTTCAATACATGTTTAAAAAACTCTGTTAACACAATATTGACACTGACAGTTCTAAAAGAAACGAAAACGTTGGTAGTGGCATATTTTCTTATAAATTGGGTCATAGAATCTCTTTTTGACTATCTAACAGAAATAATGGGGATTCACTACAATAATAAAAATATAATCCTTGTATATATCGCAATCATCGCTAACAACCAATTTGCCATAAAATTTCTGGTAAGAGTTATAACTACATCCTTCTTTATACCGCGCTTCTCTATCGAACTAGCCATCGACATCAGTGTCGAACTTATATGGGTACCTGAACACAAGAACATCTCGGGTAACTGCAGACCAGACGAACTAGCCACGCCAGATATTCTTCTTTTTGACATTTATTTTGCAGGTATTGATATTGCAACGACTAAGCTGTCAATTAAACAAGCATGTCTAGGTAAAGGTACAAAAATATGGGTAGATAAAGATTCTTATGTGATCTTAAGATACATGCAGCAAAAATGCTTCCGTAAAATTACATTTCCTTCCCTTTAAATATGCTCCTCAGTTAAAATTTATAAAAAATGAGTTCACAATTTTCCCTTTCCCTTCAAACCTACTCCACTGAAATATATATTTATTAATAATAAGAAACTATTAGCTTAAATAAAATCTATCTGAAAATACATCAAAAATTCGAAATATAAAAACTGCTTTTAAATATGGTAGAAATATACCTATAACTTTATTTCAAGCGACTTCAATCCAAAATAAATATTAAACAATCCATTAGAAACTTTGAATTTCAGTGTATAAAGTAAAATCTTGACGATCATGCACCGAAAGGATAACCTACTCATCTTATTCTTCTAATTCTGAAACCACTATGATGCGGCTTCTCTTAGCTCGATAGGAACGCTTTTCATATGAGTATTGAATATATTTCTGTTTTGAGTGTTACCTTGCCAAAATCAGTTTCTTCTATGGTATAGTCTATATATTTTTTCAAAGCAACCGGTAAGAAACGTTTTAATTGCGTTTTTGGCAAATATTGCGACTCATATCTGTCCCCTGGTTAGATTTCAATAAACCCATGATTGGACAAAATGAAACTTTATCAGTTGCGCCTGCCATTGATACAGTTTTTTGTGCAACAAATTGATGATTATCTGCAATTGAATTAGTTATGCCACCAAATTTTTCTTGAAATAAAGTTTTTAAGTTACCAGATTGATTACGAGGGATGGTTACTTCGGCAAAATTTTTATTTTTATTCGATTCGCGCTTCAAAGCTTCTATCTTATTTTGCATATCCTGCAGATTTGCCGATATATTATCCTGTATATGAGGTGACATCATTGCCCACGCAATATTATACAAATTTTTAATTGACATATTTGACCAAAATATATATTCTTCGCTAAAAATTTTGATATTGCTCTAAAAATTTTATAAAATATAAGGGGCACAAAATTTGTAGTGATCAGAAAGTGAAAAATTTTGTATTGAATGACAGAGTTTTTTATTTTATGAGGTAAAAAAATTGAAAAATATAAATGTTTATTACGATTAAAATTTTTTATTATAATGTATATGATGATTATTAATACACTAGATAAACCTTATGGTGTTAACACAGCAATTGAAGATTATGTGTGCAAAACCCACTTAAGATAATGCAGTTACAAACTCAATCTTATGCGACTATCATACTACAGATCAGCGTATCAAAAATACTGCGATTAAACGCATAATAAAAGGATCTTTAGCATGCCAAAGATAATCACATTTACACGGCTCTGAAACTATTTGCTAATACTTTAATGAACTATTAAAGCCACATAGTATGGAGATGGAAAAAATGATAGTAAAAAATAATACTACTGAAACTCCAGCGACCCCAGTGATTCTCGAGATTTGGTCAAGCAAAAACAAAGTAGTAAAAGTTCTGGAGAAGACCAACTTTATAAATGTTGCTACACGGAACATCGGATTCAATTATTAGTCTCTCAAACATTCAACAACCAACCATTTACGTTGAACATACCTATAGTGTGTGGTGGATAGTCACATGTGTAAAGAAGTTTACTCTGATTTTGCTCAGACTCACAACCAGGTTATGCAGATAATCTTATGTAGAATTGCCATATCAGTTTTATGGTCATTTTAGTCATTTTAGTCATATCCTTCCTTCCTGTAAAATATTTACATATTTATTAACTTCGAATTCGTTTTGCTGCAAAATTACAAAATTCTTTATAAGTCTTTTTGAAACCACAGCAGGACGTTAATTTATGACCACATCCATAAATTCAAAATTGAAAATACCACCAAATTAAATATTAATCACAGTATAAATTTATTGCATCTACAATATACTTTTATAATTAAGTAAAAAGTATATAAATTTATATATAAGTACATAAAGTAATAAAAAAAATATTTAATACGCTTATTTTCACATAAAAATTTTAATAACTTTCACAACGAATGTCAAGCAGAATTTCAATTATCATCGACCACTTGGGTTGTGCCATCATTGGAAATGTGACAATTTGTAACATTTAATCGTCGGAAATGTTCCATTGCATCTGACACTTGAGCTTGCAACTGTGACGTGTACTTAATTATCGAGAAATAAATTAAATTGATTACGATAATAACAACACCAAATAATAAGGACAAATGAAATCTGTGCATCAAACGTAAGGACCCACATCAGCACTTTTACCGCTGGCCCCCGTTCACGTCCTTCGCACGAAGCGGTTAAAAAATAAATGTTAACACTTAAATTATTAACACTGGAATGCCTCATTTAATTAAACCACAAATTCGCATCCTTGTATACAAATTACCAAATGGTAATTGTCATGTTTGGATAAGCAAAGTACAAAATGTTGTTACCATTTTTTTTTTATTTTTTTTTTTGATTAATAAAATATATCAACAATTTTTCAGATGTCCTTTATTGCGACTGATTTATAAATTAATTGAACATTTTTTTTTGGAACTGAATTATTCATCCAAACTTAACTAAAAAAGTAAAAAGAGCATAGTAATTATACAAGTATATTTACTTTACAAAAACAACAAATAGTTTTATATTTTAAAAACATATTTATATTTAATTTTTATATCTTTTAACATGAAAAGAATACACGATCTTAAAAATGCATCTTATGCAAACCATATAAATTGGAACAGCCGCATAGTTAGTTTCATCTTCCATTGCTAGTGGGACAATCTCTCTTTATAATTGAAAGCTCAATTAACACAATCGATATAGATCTATCATAAGATCCTTCACAATCCTTCAACATATTATGAAAAAAATCAAGATCAATTCTGTCTAATTTTGTTTGCTATATTTACGGGCTAAAGACGAACCCTCCTAAATTTTTAAAAAAGTCTTGATGATATTTTCATAACAGCTGTATCCATGTACAGTATATTGACAAGTTCAAAAGAGCTGCACTGTTTTTTTTTTATATTTGACTTGATCACTTATTCCAAATATAGCTTTCTGGAAGTACAACATATACGTATACAATAAAAAATTTTCCGATCCGATTAGTGTTAATGTAAGACTAACCCTCTTCTAACCTATACCTATCCAAATAGATCTATATAAATAAACAAACCTTAATACATCAAATCGGCAATTTATTTAAATTGAAAAAAATTCGCCTATTTTGAAAAGAATTACTTTTAAATGCATTAACAAACCAAATTACGTATACTTCCCCAACTCCAACTCGTTTGTGTATTTCCTATCGTTGCTATACTTGCCATCAATGCTGGTTTTAACACTACCAATGGCGTCCCCTTTATAATCTCCAAACCCTCTAATATATAAGTAAATAAATTACTTTATATTTGTGCTGCTGGTTATTAGGCATGGCTTCATAAAATCCAACGTTTCTCGCAACTTAATAGTTTCCTGTTTACATACACTGTAAAAAAAGTATTAAATAAACATTACAGTTTTATAGCTATAAATTTATTTTTGAGTTGGATCTGGCGCACCTTCATTTCTGTCGCCCTGAACCATAACCCCATTGCACCCATCGCTAACGGAATAACAATAATTGCTATATTTTTTATAAATAAAAAATAGACATTCCACATAATAGCCTCGCCAACGATCATATTGCTCCTACCTTCACTTAGACACAAATCACTTCAATGCTTCTGTGCCTTTACTTTACATACAGTTTGTCAAGACCTATAATAGATTTTCTATTATATATAATCTAACTTCACTCTGGTTTCCTTTCCACCGTCGCTATCATCAATACTTCGTATACAAGTAACTTGCATTCAGATTAAGAGAAATTTAACTTACTGAGTATTACGTCTACGTCTATATATAAAAATTAAAAGCGAAATCAGTGGGCGCGTAATTGGATTTCTTGTGACTTCATAAAGAGTATTAAGACTGTAGACTATTGATTTATGCCATTACTGGTTACGTCAAATGCTACTTTCATCCTAACTTTACTGACAACAGTGAAGTACAGTGTTTTACAGGCGACCACAACATAGAACATTTCCTATGCTTTTGTACATTGATACCACATAACATATAACATATAAAGATTATATATAGGTATAATATTAATATTTACCCCCTCATTCATATGATTGATTTCACATCTTATATCTCTGTATATACGCATATATACTTGCAGAGCTGTGCAGTACCAATTACTTTTGTAATTAGATTACTCTCCAAAATAATTGGAATTGAGTTGCTAGATTACAAGTGGAATTGTGCTAATGGAATTGATTTTTCACAGCTCTGTATACATATAGTATATTGAAATATATCTTTGTATCTTATTTTCCTATTAAAAAATAATGTATGAAAATATTAAAATAAACCAAAAAAATATAGTAATTAATTTATTATTACTTATACATCTTTATTAAATATATTTTGTTTTTATTAATTCATTCTTATAATTTTTTTACAATACATATATTAATACTTTTAAAAATATTTTATTTTTTTAGTGTTTAGTATAATTAAAATAACTTTATGAACATAACTGAGTGCATTTGTTTTAAAAAATAAAATACTTTTATTTAAATTTTACTAACTTAATATTATGTCAATTTGTTTATTATTAATTTATCAACTAAATTTTTAAATAATTTTGGATACTAAAAGTGCTGTACATTAAAATCTATATTTTTTATATATTGCGTGTAAATAACATGTTATAAATTATTAAAAAAAAACAATATATAATAAATAAATAAAATATAAACATATATTGTAAGGTTAGGTACTCTTTTATACAAGTTAAGACTATTAGATATAGTATATATACCTGATATTGTATTTTATATTGTATGCCTTTAGTTTGGGTAATAGTTGGTTTAAATTTTACATTGATTAATTAGTCTTTAACTATTTAATATTAATAATTACGTATTTACCCATTACAAATTATTTGTTTCTTAATTTCAATATTGTTATTTTAAGAGAAATATATTTTCGTTATCTTACTTTTAATTTGTTATCTTTATCTTCAATATTATTTATTTTATATATTATAAATTTGTATTTTAATTTATTGTTTTTAATAATACTCAACACTGATAATATTAAAATGCAATTTTATTTTAATTTTTTTTTTTTTTGTTAAAAATGTTTTCCATTAACTAATTTATAAACTTTAGAAAATTGTAAACAATTAATTTAAACTTTAAAATTTTTTTTCTAATGATTTTTTGAAATATATTAACGAAAAAAATTTGTTTTTATTATATACTAACCTAGGAATTATTTTAGTAATACATAATCATCTTAAAATATATATATATTAATATATTTAGGTATGATTTTTGTAAGTATCTATATAAATGTATATAACAATTATGATTGCAGTGAGGCCATATAATAATATCAATAATTCATTTGTTGTTATTAATAAATGTTAAGAGAAAGAGAGAGAACTTCTTTCATAACACATATAACAACAACAAACTACAGTTGCTCAACATATAAATATAGCATATATATTATAATATTAAAGGTACAACATAATTGGAGATATTACTCCCATTTGCTATATATAATAATTTTTAATTATATATATTATAGTATATAAATATTTTTACTTGATTTCATTAATGCATTAAATTAGCAATTAATTTTATTTTATATAATTTATATAAGCAAATTATATAAACCTTAAACTGTGTGTATGTATATATGTATATATATATATATATTTCTTTTTTAATTAAATATGATATGATTGTGATATAAATAATTAAAAATTAAAAAGCTTTTTATTTGCAGTTTCTTGGTACCTTTATTTATTTTATTTTTTTTTTGTTAATATCACAAAATATAAATTTTGTTAAAATATTTATTTTTAAAATTCGTTTTATGCAAATTGCCTGTTTATTAAATTTAAAAAATAAATCACTATATAATATTTTATTAAAAACTAGGAAAAATATTTAAATATTTGTAGGCTAAGAAAAATAATGCAATAATAACAAAGTTCACATTAAAATTAAAATATTAATTTTTATATTTTAAAATAAGAGGTGACTTTATCTAGTGGGCATGTCTATGTTTTTCTTAGTGTATGTTCAGTTCTGGAAATCGAATGCATTTCATAAAGTAGTTGCAAGTTTATAATACTATGTTCAAACGGCCAATTTCATTAATATCGTAAAAATTAAATTAAGTTAATTTCGAAAGTGTTCATACTGCACTAATTAAGGAAATCGTATATTTTTCTATAAACACCATTCGTATCTGGGAAATTTTAAAAGTTGATTTTTATAACTATAAAGAATGGCATTCAGTATTATTATTAGCTTTAGTGTATTAAAGGTATGTGAATTATTATTCTTCACTCTATTTTAAATTAATAACAGTTACAGTTTTTTCTATATAGTCAAATTTAAAAATTTGCATACTTTCAAAATATTTCCCAATTATATTAAAGTCAACTGTCATTGACATTTATTTAAAAAAAATGTCACTTTTTTGTTATCTCAACTTTATCTTTTGCTGAAAATTTATCTTAGGCATAGTTACATTCGAAAAGTATCTTAATTTCATCCTATCTTTCAATGAAATTAAGATCTTTTTCCATAATTTCGTTCTAACCTTAAAACTGAATTTTGTATGGAAAAAAACAAATTAATTTCGCTGGAACGATGATGAAATTAAGATTTTGGTGAAATTAAGGTGTGTCTGAACATAGTATAAGGAAATTTGCAAAATCACAACTTCAAAGATATAGCAAAAAATAAAAAATTGGAAATATTTTAAAAATTTCAAAATTATTAAAAAGAATGTTTCATCACAATTGGCCTACATAAAGAGCCTAAGTAGGGTACGTCTTCTTCAGAACCAAGCTGTCTGTGCCATGTACCAAATGAATCTAATAGAAATTCTAAAATGTCTTTAGCAAAATAAAATTTAAGTTAACAAAAAACAAAAATAAATAAAATATGCTCAATATTTTACTAACTTTCGGACCCTTACTGATTTTCGTTATTGATATCTCCATATTATTAATAATAGGTATATTAAAAGCCAATGAAGGCCAGACATTCATTTACATATATTTAATAATTCCCTATACGAGTATATATATATATATATATTATTTTTTTTCAGTGCAGAGTAACCATTTCTATTACAAACAATTCTAATGCTATTTCAATACATTCAGTATCTGTCATAATCGGTTTATTCTATCATTTATTTCAGATATTGCTAAATATTTTCAAATTGTCTAATATTTAAGTATAAATATGTATATGCGTATATGCTTGCCTAGTAAAAATATATGCTATTCATGTAAATACGTAAATATATTGCTGCTATATATTATATATTAAAATATATTTGTTTAAGCGTACTAAATAAAAAAAAACATTTTTACAGTGCATTCTTACATCCAATTGAAGTATTCGGTTTACACTGTAAAAATTTTTACATTTTTAACTAAATTATACAAAAATATTTTTTTTCTTTGATAACAAATAATATTTGCAATGAAATAGAATAAATTCATTGAGGCCAACTTTTAAGATATGTTTACAGTTATATTTTTTATTATTGTAGGTATTTCGTTTATTTTTATGCATACATATTTTATATATTATTATTTTATTAATAATACACAATTGTCATATATAACAAAATATTAATTTCTAATCTGCTTTTTAAATCATTCCTTGCAATATTTTAAGTGATTGTTTCTTTATCCTGGTTGTTTCATAATTATTTTCCTCTGTCAATATTTTAGTGTATATTTTATATATTATAATATTATATAACAATTATAAACATTTATAATATACTTTAAAATTTTTTTTTTTTTCAATTGGACTTACTAAAACAATCTAGAAAATGTATTTAAAATCAAAAATAATTTTTTTGAAAATTTATTTAATAATATTTTTGGAAATTAAATGAAATTATTTAAATACTGACTGGAGTATAGTTAAGCAATTATGAGGAAAATATTAAAAAATTTATACATATATATAAATAGAAATAAAAATGAATTGTGTGAAAAGTAGAACAGATAATATAATAATATATTATTAATATATAATGTAATACGAGTATAAAGCTGCGCTATTTTTCGCTTCAACCTCACAACAAAGCAATTGAGAACATTTAAAATAGAACAGAACTAGCATGTCTGTAGGAATAATGCCATGAAAGTGGTATGTGATACTCATTTTATAATATTTCAGACCATTTTACACAAAATATGAAACATTTTTATATAAAAACTTTGTATTAGTTTTTAGAAGCACTCTTAAAATAAGATCCATGTATATAAAAGCAAGCCACAAATATATCAACCTTTAAGAAGAATTCAAAATTGTCTTAGTTATGGCTACATAATCGATACTCTTAATAAAATATGATAACAACTTACAAAACCAAAACTAGCGGATAATACGAACAGCTCTAAGACAGTTAATATATTATCATAATGGTAAATACTCTGCTATGTTTATAGAGTATCTCTGATGGAGACCAATTCAAAATGCTATTCATATTCTTTGAATTTCTCTTAATTTAGTGTAAACATTCTTTTTTTGCGCGTTTAAAACGTTTTTCTTTTGTTATATCATTGACATGGCCTTATAACCCTATTATATCCTTAACGATTATCCTTTCCAGATAATCGATGATTATACTGTTCAACTTCCAATGAACGACTATCACTTGTTACTGTATACTCAGCTAACTACCGCGTCTGATTAAGATGTATAGTAGTGGAGCCATATTTCGTGCATACCGCATGAATAAATTCTTCTTACTATTCATATATATGTTTAAATAGTCCCCAGAATCATCGACGAGTTACTACTTTTAATCAACAAAACACAAATGATATACCCATTTTGTTAATAGCTTTCTTATGATTACATATTCTTGTAAAACACAGACCTTTTGTTATTTTGATATCTTTTTAATAACAGCTATATCTTCAAACTTTAATCTATGCATATTTGTAATCATTTAATGCATATAATCGCCATATTTCAGAGTAACAGCTTCCTACAGTCGTTCAGAGTATTTGCTGTCGCCAAGGTTGCCCGAATTTGTATGTTGTACACTACTGACAGATATGTATATAATTTTCTTGAGACGTATTAATCTATTTTATGATAAAACCATGTTTTTTTACTAGTAACTAAGGTTTTACACAATGTTTAAAAGTTATGCACAGCAGTTTAATTAAAACCACTACAACTTATCAACTGATGGGATCGGTAAGGGTTAGATCGGAACTAGTTAAAGGAATATTTTGCGCTTTTCAAAAAATGAAGTAGTTATACTATTTGCAATAAAATAGTCAATATCCCACTCCAAAAAATGGTCTTTGGACGAAACCACTATTACTAAACAAGCAATCTGAGGTACCCCTTAGTTTGACTACCTCAGGGAAGCAGGTATGCTTTATCTAAATTTCTATTAAAACTATTTATAAATAAAGTGAATCAGGCAGATTCTTATTATTCCTACATATGTCTTGACTTTTCTAGCATAGTTATTCTTTGAGCAACTGATCTCAGAATTTGGAGACTACATGTGTACAAAAATAAATTTTTTTTTAATGCAGAAACCTCTGCAAATAATTTTATAATTAATTTAAGGTCACAATTTATACTATATGAACAGGTCTTGTTCTATTATATACAATTATATATAAAGATTAACCAATATATGTCCCTGTTGAAATCTAGCATAAATATTTATTAATTATACTAAAGTTTAAGCAAACTGAAAATGAAAGAATATATTACCACAATTAGCTTACAAATATATGTATCATTTCCAATAATTCACTTAACCATACTCCTTCTTAATAATCAAGAAACTCACAATATATGAAATAACCCAACATACCTATAGACTAAACATCTCGAAACTTACAATTTTGTATTTTTAAAACCAAGTTTATCTGTACTTAGCGCAAGTATTCAGCTTACTGCGCAAATGGATTATGTACGTTACCGCCAGGAATGTCCAAATTACCACCAGTAGTTTGATAAGTACCATAAGTATTTCCTGTACCACCATTCGGATTCATTTCGTTGAGGCGTGTATTTGAGAGCGCGCGAGGAATAGGATTGCTAGGTACTCCATGTGGTGCCAAATGTGAAGTTTCCTCAGCCACCTATAAAAAATACATATTTTTTACTAATTGATTTTCAAAAAATTATTAAAAAATTAAATTATATTTTTATTTGTTTGCCCACTTTAATTTTCTTATAGCATCCATTAACACTTACTTGATGTGGGTCCTCAGTTTGAGGCAGCTCCGATATAAATCCTTGCTCCTTCCGATAGAAATTAACAAATATGAAGAACCCGAGCACAAATAAACAGCAAATACCGTACCAACGGAATGTAGCTGTTGTACCGTAATATGTCACAAACATACCGCCAATAATGGCACCACAGCCTCGGCCCAAACCATGATGAATACCCTGCAAAACACCTTGTGATGAAGATCTCAAATGTTTAGGTGTGTTGTGGGCTATATATGAACAAGCAGCAGCCCAAACCGCAGCATGCGTTATTCCTTGCATTAACTCAAATGGTAATACCATCCATGGATTTGTTGTGTACGAAATATACAGAAAACGCAAAACATTGGCCATTAAACCCAAACACAAGACTTTTATGTGTCCAACTTGTTGTATCAAACGAAAACTGAAGAAATATGCAAAAATTTCTGACACGTGATTTATAACCGATGCAATACCAAACAAAGTGGGAGTGCCACCAAAATCTTGTAAATGCCAAAAGAGGAATGTGAATATTAAACCAATACCAAATCCCATAAACCAGGCAACAAATAAAAATGACGCTGTTTTCAAATCCCTGAAATGCATTAATACAGTCATCCATTCTGGCATTTCTTTCGTAGTTTGTGCAAATATTTTGGACTCTGCACCTATATCCGATTGACCAGCAGTAGGTGGTTTTAAAAAACTAGCACCTCCACCACCAGTACCAGTACTGCCACTGCCAACTGCTAATGATGGCAGATTTAATTGTGCTGCTAATTGGTTCATTGATTCCTCTTCAGCTTTTTTATTAGGATCAATTATATCTTCAGCGGGTTTTTCAACCAAATCGAGTGGATCGTATTTAAATGTGATTTTAGCAGCCGATATATAGGCACAAACCATAAGGACGGTAAATATAAGAAAGCAAATATTATAGTTCTTTTCCATATGCCCAGCACCACAAGGATGATGTGAAAATGATGTAGAGTGATCCAACGCTATACCAACAATAAACATTGATATACCCCAGCCTAAGGATCCAAACATACGTTGATGACCATATTTATCAGCATCTTCACCTAGTAGCGTTATGACAGCAGAATCAGCTAACGTTATGGCCGGCGCACTAAAGAACTCTCCAATCAATATAACCAAGAGTAAAAGAAAGAAAGCCTTTTGAATATCCTGTGGATGAAACAAAATGATATATATGTTTGATCAGTTGATTTATTTATTTGTCATGGTACTTACTGGTGTGCGATAAACCATTGATGAAAATATTGGAGTAACGTAATCTCGATGTTGCTTTTCGTCGTAATTGCTGGCAAATGTTATATGAATTGGAGAAATACCGGCATCTAGACGAGGTAAAATCGAGCGTTTGCGTCTAAAATGTTAATGGTTTAGTTGACAAATTATTTTAAACTTTTTGTGATAAAAGTTATAACTTCTTCTATTAATCTGTCTAGTCTTCGATATTTTAAGCCGAACACTTACTTAGAAATATAGTTGTTAATATTGGTAGGTTTTTACAATATTTTCATAATAGACACAAAAATGGACAAATGTTAACTAAAAATATTTCTGTACACTATTTCAAGGGTTATTCAATTAATTAAAAATTATGTTATGCCATCACATATATATTTGGTAGGTTTACGTATTGTGGTAGGCAGTCTACTAATGACAATACAGTGAACTGAAGCGTTAACCAAAAAAAACCAATATTTTTGCCGGAGTGAAAACCGGAACCGAACCGATTTATATTTTTTTTTTTATTTTGAACCGAAACGGAAAAAATTCTGTTTCAAAGCCCTGTTAGTGAAGGGTCGCAGCTACAGAAATGATTAGTTATGGTTCATGATAGAGATACGATTTCAGAACTCCAGTTTTTGAATATAATAGTTTAATTAGCCACTGGACGTCTAGACACAAGATTCTCTAAAAATTCGAACTTTAGACACTCACGTTTATACATGGGAAGTGCGACAGTTATGCGAAAGTATTTATAAAAGTATGAAATACTATTCTGCACATTATAATTTATCACTACTTACAAAAATAACAAAAAAAAAGTACACAAAACGATATTAGATGCACGGTTGCCACTTGAAAATTTTTTTCTGTACCAAAATTGGTTTAAAAAGGTACCATTTCTGTAAAAAATGGTCCAAAATTTTTCTATTGTCTTTTTATAAGAAAATACAATTTATATAAAATGTACAAAAAGTATAAAACAATACAATACCCACAATAAAGTTGGGTCGCCGAAAATGTACCATTTTTTGAACATGAGTACCAGAGTACCAAACGGAAAAAAAAGTACCAATTTTGGTACTAAAGTACCATAAGTGGCAACCGTGACTAGATGTATATTGAATAAAAATCAGAGTTTAAGAAAGACTTTTGAGTTTTTGCATGATTTCAATCAAAAAATATTGCTGATAATGTTTATGCACTCTTTAAATGCCATATCTACTAAACCACAATTAAAACGTAACCGGTTAAATGTTTCTAAATTCTTTTAAACCAGCTTAAACAGGGTAGACTTTTGCAGACAGATAATAGTGTAAAAAAAAAACCATGATCTATTCCTGTAAACAATTTCGCATCTACAGCGCAATATCCATGTATACCAGTATTTATATGAATTAAATATACTTGTACTAATAATTACATGAAATAAATATTGCACAGACACTTAAAAGTAAATGAGAATTGTAACATATTTTTGTTATAAATTAAATTATATTTTAAATCCTGAAGATGAAAATTTATGGCAAACGGCAAAAGTAAATAAGAATTATAACACTTTTATATTGTGAATCGAATTATGTTGTAAATTGAATTATATTTTAAGTTTTGAAAATGATAATTCGTGGCAGAAAGCGAAAGTTCTCGTCCAATGAAAAGGTAATAAGGAGCGTAATAGATATCTTAAGAACTCTTTGTATTATGCGATACAATAGTGAAGTCAGAAAAGTTAATCGGAAAAGGAAAACATTATGTTGACATATAACCCAAAGTAAAAAATTTTACTCTCCCTTTTTGAAAGAATATTAAAAAACACGTATCTTTATATATTCCCAAACAAATATCTTTGGAGACTTAGAGAAGGAAAATTTTTAAGAGAGTGCTTAAATTTTTAAAACACCAGTTTAAAAAAGTTGTACCACAATTATGGCTATGATGGACCTACTAAATAATGGTGCCAGTTGGTGGAAACGTAATTCTCTCTTATAGTAAGTTTTCAGAAATTATTGTATATATATATGGTACATAGAAAACTATATAAAAAAAACTATATAAACTTTATATACAAACTATATTATATATAAACTATATATTTATATATAATATATTATAAAAATATTATACATTCTCAATAAATATAAATATATAATATGAATTTATCCTTTTTCAAATTCTATTTTTATACAACGATATATAATATCCTTTGATTTCTAAAAATTTTTTGACTTTTTTCAATTATATTGCACTCACCTACTATGCGATTCCTCAATAGCTTCATCGGCTGGCATTGTACCAAGTGGAAGAAGTATTGCATTTTTGTAGAAATTGTCTACATTCTCATCATTGAAATCTACCATTTCGAAAGCAGAAAGATCTCGTTTAGTTCGTGTATATGTGAGTACAAAATCCGTTTCATTTACGCGTTCAATGCATTTCACCGCTTCTGGTCTGATAAAACTTAGTGGTATAGTAAACAGTACCCAGGATGCTAGAGAAGCCAATAACAACTTCTTTCCTTGTCGACATCTATGGAAATTCATGTCATTATAAATTAATTATAGAGTTCTAAGAAAATGTTTACCTATCCGCATATGAGCCCCAAAATGGGGCTGATAAAAATTCTACAAATGGACGCATACCAATTAGAATACCGCACTGACCAGGATTCATGCCCATTTGCTTGAAATAAACACCCATCAAAGGAAATAGTGAACCAAATGCAGCATAAAAGAAAAAATAAAAACTTTTGACAGGAATGAGTTCATGCTCTGTGGGACCAAAAAACTTTTCAAGTATATCAGCATGTCCACGAATTTTGTGCGTTGACTCCTTAGCTTCCGGGTATCTTAAATAAAATCAAATTTTATTTATGATTAATGCAGTACATTTTATAGTTAGACTTACAATGTGGGATCCACTTCACCACTAGCCTCCACATCAACACGTGGTCGTGCAGCATATGCTTGCGCACCACCAGTAGATGGCATGCCGCCACCATAGCCAGCAGCTGTGTTTTGTCCATAACCAGTGTCTTGCATATAACCTCCACCTTGATCGTAGCCACCTGTTTGTTGCCCATAACCCCCATAGCCTTGCTGTTGTTGTTCATAACTACCACCGCCGCCACCACTAGGTGCACCAAATGGATTCGCCGCTCCACCGTATTGTGCCATGTTACTCTATTTAAAAGCCGACTAAACTGTGAAAGTTTGTTGAAACAATTATTTTAATATAAACAATAGACGCTGAATGGAGTTATTGTTTCAACTTTTGGTAGATTGTTTCTGTTATTGCTGCCTCTGATTATAATGATGCTACTTTAGAGTCCTTGGAAACCAGGCGACTATGACAAACAATTAATTGTCTTCTGCCACTTTTTATTGCCGCCTCAGCTGGTTTGGCTGAAAGTTGGGTGAGCCGTTAAATTTGCAGTTTTACTGTTCCGGAATCGAATGACACCAGTTATTAATGGCGTCCTTTGTTACACTTCCGCTATATTTTTTTTTTGCGTTATTGTTAGGCTTTACTTTGTCTCTATTTTTGTGCACATTAAAGTGTCCTTTTGTTAAACTGCCTTTGTTCTCAGGAAGTTTTAATCAGTAACATTTCCGCCTTGCTGCTGCGTTGTATTGTATCTGAAATAATGAGGAAATCATGAAGAAGTACATTATTTTCTTGTATCCCAAAGTGTAATTCGAGAGGTTAAAAAGGAAGTATTATGTACTTATTACATATTGTTTATACTGAAGATTACTTCATAGTCGAAAGAATAATCGCTATATTGGAAATATTACTTTTTATGTTTTTTTTTTTACTTTTTGTTAGTAAAAGGAAGACTTCATCAATAATATTGTCATAGCTAAAATAACTTTATAAATAAAGTCATAAAGGAATAATTTATTAGTTTCTTAATAATATGTTTTATTGGATGTTATTTAAATAATGTTTTTTTATTTAGATGTCTTATTATTTTATTTAGTGCTGTAAAAATATTCAATTAGTTCATATTTACTAAAGTATGTTAGAGAAATTCATATTGTAAAATATATTTTATATATCATTATATCAAGACTTGTTTAACGATTTTATTTAATTTATGAGTAAATGTGGTGGCCAAGAACAATATCAAATGAAGAACTCTGGAGGTAAACTAACCAAACATTTATTCATGTTGAAATTCAAAAGTGAAAATATAGGTGAATAGGTCACCGCAGGGGGTGACCCCCTGTAATCCCCAGGGAATCCGGCGTAGAGGCAGTCCAACGACAACATGGCGAAGAACAATTAATACTAAAACTGACAAATCGTTTAACTAATTTTGACAAATTTCGCAAAATATAGATAATTGGAAATCATTTGTTGTATCCTTAAGCTCCTAATAGAGTATTGAATAAAATAATAATAAATAATATGAGTAAATTTGACTAAAACTGAAGGTAAAAGTGCAAATTTAAGAATTTATACAAAAATCTCTCAGGGTTTCAAAGTTAAGGTCATATTTATTAGGTTACAAGATTTCACGATTTGAGTTTTAATTAATCTATTATCTTAATTTTGATAAGATTAGATTTTATTCATAAATCTTAAAAGTCAGTTCGCAGTCAATCTGAACAGCAATTCAAACGATTAAAAGCCAACATTTATTATATTTTAATTATATGAGAATTTTATTAAAATAATTATATGAAAATTACTTATGACAATAAAGATTATCATGGAATCAATAGAAGAAATTATCTTTTTTTGTATAATAGCACAATCTACAATAATTAGTAGGCCAAAGTCATATATGTATATAATTTTCGTTTAAAAGGATTAGAACCTATTGGTGAAAATAATAGGTGTAGTAAAGAGAATCCATTATATATGCGTAAAATTGAAATCTTATCATAGGTAGAATAAACTGATTTAAGTCAAATATTGGCATTTTGAACCTAATTTCATTATGCCTCTCTCAAAGAAGTCCACGACCCTATTGGAAAAAAATAGAGACAGTTTAACTTCACTATCCTCTCTTGAAGCGAATTTTGCACCAGCAAAATCGTTTGTTATGGACAAGAGTAGATGATAATTACTTGGTGCCATGTTTGGACAAGGTGCGTGCATAAGAACTTCTTAAACAAGCTTCCGGAGCTTTTGGCGAGTCATTATCATGAGTGTGGCCTGGCGTTGTCCTAATGCAACACAAATACAATTCCTCTTATATTTCCAAAAGATGACCTTTTTTGAGCGATTACTTCATTCAGACAATGCAATTGTTCCAGTTGGCAATACAGTTCCGAGTTAAGAATTTTGTTGTAAGGAAGCAGCTCATAGTATATAATTGCATGCCAATTCCTCCAAATACACAGCAAAACCTTACTTGCTCATCAATCTTAGCTTGGTCACCGTTTCAGCCAATTCACCGTAATTACACCACGACCGTTTTCGCTTGACGTTGTCGTAAGTGATTACCAGTCACTTTTCATCACTTTTCGGTCACTAACCGTATCAGATATGGATCAATTTTGTATCATTTCAGCAGCGATTCGCAGATGAAAATTCGGTCCGTTAGCTTTTTTTTGCAGTAACTAATGTGGAACCTATATATCATGGTTCTTTTTGTATCCAACTTTATTCAAATGGTACCAAACGGTTTCTTGTGCAATACTTAAGTCTTGGGCAATCGAAACAGTGCTTACATGACTCACACTGGTCGTACTCAACAATTTCCATGATTTTATTGACATTTTCGACAATTGGGCTTTGTGGTTAAAGAGCGTGGTGCATTTCGACCACTTTTTTTACTAAATTTCATTTTTTCTAAGCCATCTATCGTAACCAGATCGAACTTATACAAGGCGGATACAGATACTAAACCCATCTATTGAGATAATAATGGATTTTTTTACTAGACCTATTACAAAAAATTATAAAATAGTAGTAATATGTTTCTAATTTCACGATATCCGCAACAAAGAATCTAAATTAAGCAACGTATGGCATTTACGGATTCTTGATTTGAATAGACATCACACTGATCGGTATATGTCTTGTCATGAGTTATATATATTGTTATATTAAATATTTTTTATCAGATATTTATTTTTCGAATGATTTAATCTCAAATCCTTTCACTTCAACATATTATTTAACGAAAACCAAAACATGGAACTATTCCAAATGGGTTGCCACTTTACGCAAAAAAAAAATTGTTTTTATTTTTACATTCTCTGTTTTGTCATTTTTTTATGCATTGCAATTCTCAACAATACTTGAATAAATGTGGGTATCTGACGAATGTGAGGAGATGCGGAAATAAATAATCCGCTGAAAATGTCAATGTGTCGCATTTGCTAATTGCGGGGCATTAGTGGAACAGTGCTAAGTGGTGGCATTGACTGTGTCATTTGAAATATGAGATGTTTGCCAAAGGCTAGTGAAATTATGTCGCAAGTTCTTGAAAATAATATTTTAATTGATTATTTTTAACTCAAATTGTCATTACTTTTAATGATTTAGTTGAACAATCTTACATTAATCTTAAACCGAAACAAGTAGCAATAATATTTATTTTAATTTTTTTAAGTTGATTTTGTATTGTAAGTAATTTTTATAAGTAAATAAAACAAATAATACTGAAATTATTTTTTTTTACCTAAAAAGAATTTTTGTTTGAAGTATGGATATTCCTTATGTTCAAGAAGTATCAGGAAATGGTAGCATAGTATAGCTACTAGTCTCCAGAATTAAAAAATCCAAAGAGACATTGAATCAATTGCTTTTTAAAATTTGAAAACTATTTCAATTTCCTACTCCACCTATTCTACGAAATTCAGCGTTGTATTTTACGAAGAAAGCTAAATTTTAGATATTGTTTTTGGCTTCAAAAGTGAGAATTACAACAACGTATAAATTAATAGATCTACACGGCTATCATAAGACTTACGTACAACAGTTACGGGAACAGAGTGTAGTGGACGGAGTGGAATAAATCTACATATTTAAGCTACCGAATCATTGCAGTGATTTTCAGGTGGAAGTGATTGCTATTACAGAAGCTTTAGCTTGTCTGGAAGTATATCATATATTTAAGAGGAATATATACATAGTATCAGACAGTCCAATTAATATCCAGGATGTGTTGATTGCTGCACATCTCTAACATTTTTCTACTCTAGATTCCCGTTCATAGGAATATGAACACTGCTAGACAGTGTGATTCAGATAATCATCCAGGACATCTAAAGCAACTAGACATTATAGCTGACATTATGCAAACTTTTGTTGAAATCTTTTTGTGCTGAAAAATTTAATAAAAGATGAGAAGATTCAATGATATATAGGAATCTATATGCAAGTTGTTCACATTTTTTTAAAAAAAATCCAGTGCTCTCATTGAGATGTCTTTTAAAGATATCAGTTATGCGGTATATTTCCTGATAGTCGATTAGAGAATCATACCAGAAGATTGATTATCCCTCTAAATCATTCCCCTCGCAGCTGTGGAGAATACAATAAAAGTGTCTCACATCTGCTTTGTTTTTTCTCAGCACATACACGGTGTCGTTTTAATATTTAAGAAGACCTCTTTTTCGGAAAATCTGACTAACACTAAAACCTCCCTTCAAAAAACATTTTAAGTTTTGTCAAGGGTAAAAGGTGGTTTTTCAACCTCTGAGTTTCGGTAACAAAAAGTGGGTTTTGAGGATCGTCGGTATGATTTAACCTAACCAAACAGTTCTATTCAAATCCGAAAACGTCCTCAATATTTGATTTTATGTATATGACTAAATACCTTTGTATTTAGCTTTATGACCATAAATCTTTTTATAGATCAAACAACTTCAAACAATGATTTTAAGCACTAATAGGTTCTTTATATAGTTCACGTCTCCAAAATTTAATGTTCTTCTAAACAAAATTCTTCTGACTGAATCGAGAGATTCATAGAGTGACATTTCCTACTAGGAACCGATATTTAATATTAGGAGATGCTCTCAATAGTTGGTCGGAGTTATCCACAGCTATAAGAAAACTATAAGAAAAATATACATTTCATAAAGCAATTCGATTTTATTAGTTGAAGATAACCCAAACTATCATTGTACCATCTTCTAATTTTCCTTTGATTGACTGGCACTTCAATGTAAAATTTAAAAATGCTCAATGTTATTAAATTTAAAAAAAAAATTAATTTCCATAAAATAAAATAAAGAAATTGAAATTACTTTTTAAAATTTATTGCACTTGCACTCATTGTCGTTTACATAGTTTCGCGTAATTTGAGTGAGAACCATAGCAATGGCGCCCACGCTTCAGCAATTGAGACTTGTGACGGTGACACAGATTCGTATTTGCCATTTTCCACAGTTCATGGCTAAGCTTTTATTAGTAAAAATAGTTTGAAGGAAAAGAAATAGGAAAAGAGGTGTAACAACAGAAGTCATAAAATAAAATAAAATAAAACAAAATAAAATAAAAATAAAACTAAGACCAAGAAGAAAATATACATAAAAGCAATTGAGATTTTCAAAAGAAATTGAGCTAAAAGGCACTCAACTGCAAAGCATTTAAAAATGTTCAGGATTATGACTCCAAATTAAAGAAAATGAAGAGAAAGAATAATAAAATAAA